TTGTCCTCAATATTTGTAGTTTCCAGACTGAACTAAAGAGGCCAGAATTTAGCAACTAAAATTTATTCAATATAACCCATGCTGTAACATGCCTAAAGATGTAGTAAATGAATTGGTTAGATGCTGGGGTTTTTTTATGATTTCCAGTATCTTCATCAAATTAATTCAGTGATTTAATCTGAAAAGTTCATCTTCAAGACCATCATCACACCACAGAATTAATTTTACAGGGCTGCTGCTGCTTCTATTTTTTAAGGATTAATGGTAACCCTTTTTATCTTTTGTGTCTGTTGAACCTTAGAAAAAAGTTATTTTAACAGCACTAAAGAAATGAAAGTCACTATATTTCATAAGTTTTAGCCTGTGATTTTTATCAGTATAGTGATGTATGTTTGTAGTTGAGTTTACATCAAAAATTATTCTTGGGGCCTTCTTGAATGAATTATGGCAAAGAGAGAGAGTCTAGAAGTAGATAAGGTTTTTGATTTCTGCAATATATTTCCTTTTTCATGTTTTTATCTCTCACAACACAAGTGTCTTGCCGAAGAGTGGAACGGGTGACCAACTGGAATAATTTAGTTGTGAAAACAGAGGAGACATGTTATTAAACAGCCTTCTTTACAAAAAGGCATTAAGTGTTGGGAGGATAATGAAGTTGTCCCCAGCCTCACTTGAGACATGTTTGTCAGAATCTTGAATAGAAAAGAAATGGTTTTTTAAACCTTCAAATATGGCCAGTTTGCGGCGTTTGTTGAGAAAGCGGCTGTCAGACCATTAATTCGATCGTCATGAGGAGCACAACTCAAGTTTAATTGATGCCATACCCAAAAAGCATGCGAGTAGCTGACTTGGCAAAGGGGCTTGGGCCTTCGCGCCTGCGGTGAAACACGCAATTACTTAGCGCGGCGACAGAGCCCAGACCCGCGGCCTGCTCACAGGTAGCCGGTGGGTGCCCGGCCTTCCCCAACTTCTCCCTCTCAGGCTGTGTGCCAGAGGGAAGATTTATTGCTGTGTGATTGTGAGTGTTTAAGGACCTGGAACTTAATGACTAAATAGATAGCGTGTCTTAGAGAATTGTGTACATACAGGTATAGACTCTTACAAGAGCTAGTGGTTGAGAGAAATCCATGTTTCGAAAGCCCTGAGAAATGAAGATTTCTAGATTAAAACAACAAAAAAAGTGGCATGCTGCCATTATTATTCGAATCAGTGATTTTTTCAGTCTGCTTTTTGCCTCTCCTTAGGATATCTCTTGTTATTGTGAAGGATGTCACAAACCTCTAAGAGATGAATTAATTTTATTTCATTTTAACTGAACAAGGATGTATAGAGCACACAGAGGAGGGGAATGTTTCCCTATCAGAAACTACCATGATTAAACTGTCTCAGAGAAGTCATTTTCCATCCTTAGACGGGTCTGGACTTTGCATGCACTGGACTTTCTTTTTAAGTGCTAGCCTTGAATTCCCACACTGAAACAAAAGCTGATGGACCTTTCTATGAAACGAGCACCCTCAGAGACTCAGGCCAGATGTAAGCAGGTATCAGCCTGGGCCAGGCCCTGGTTTTATCATGGAAAGGTTGTGCCAATTTGGTCTTAGAGGAAGCAGCCTACCCTTAAAAAATCAGATTGAAAGCTTAATAAAGTAGCTGTCGTCTTGATAGCTAAAAAGAGCTCTGTGTCTCAATTAAGTATAGATAATGTAAAACCTTAAGGATGCAACACGACAGAGGTAACCTGATTATATTCTCGCAATACTCTAATCTAAAGGAAATCTGATTCTGTTGATGCTGGCCATGTTAGTGGGCATTGGTTATTTTTTTGTTCAAAACAGCTTGGATATAGGGTAAAAACTGCCTGGGATTCACTGTTAAACCCTGGTGAGTACCGGTAAGTGGAACCTGCTGGACATTTGGGGTGAGATTCAGCTGAGGTTATGACTCAAGCGAGCTGAGCTATCGGTGACCTCCTGTTTAAATGCATCTCTCTTTTCATAAGTACTTGACAAGATCTGTAAAGTAGTGTATTTAATTTACTAATTAAATTAAAGCCACTGAATAATGATTTGTCCACATTGATTTAACTTAAATAGAAGAGATCAGCATTGTTGTGATCTTTAGCAACCTTCGTGGCCGAGCCAGTTAGACACAAAGGCCTCTTGTGTTTTATAGGTCAGCAGTACATAGGTAAGCTCAGGCTGTAATTGAATTGCCTGCCCTGCTCCCTGCAGTTGCAGATTTCCTCTGCCTTCCCATTCCATTGTTGCACTGGGGCTTAAGAGAACGTTAACGTGGTAATAGGCGCGGGGCCTTCCCCATTATACGTCTTGCTATCGAGCGGTTCTGCATGACTAGTTAAAGAAGATGGCAAGAAGATTAATGAAACCAAGGCTAATACAGAAGGGGGTACTTTTGCAAGACTTCT